GATCGCCATCGACTCGCATTTCTGAATTATCGGGAAGCGATATTGGCCGAATTAAGGAAGCCTCGGTTGGCGGACTAACGAGATATTCGATAGCCATGCATACAGATGCCGTCAAAGGACACGAATAATTGTGAATAGAATGTGATACAATAATGTATACGTCTGGATCAGATTACAAATAAATCTGTAATGCCATATTTAAATGTAACCCACAAAATACTCGCTTAATACTCAATATAATATCAATTATAGAATTATTGTACCGTAGAAACTTCAGCATTGTTCCGCGCTGCAATTCATATACGCACATGCAGTTTATCAATAAAGCTACATTAGTTACATTGTCTTTCAAGCAAAATGGACGTTGTCCATCACAGTTCATTATCATTAATTATAACGCGCTAGAGTTCAGTCTGTGTGAGCATCCCGTGACGGTGCAGCTTCAAACAATTCCACGCTAATTTTATTCATAGAAAAATTTGTACAAACATTTCATTTCTTTTTTTGCGTCACTCTCTGCTTTATTTCTTGTCGCTGCTAAAAGTCCTTCGAGATTAACGCGTATTTGCGGAAAGATATTTATGATTCGTATAACAAACATTGAAATCAAGTCGGACATCTCGGGATTAATCTAATTTCGCACGGAAACGCGCTAATGTAATTTCTTCCGCTTCCGACTCGACTGCATTCCACGCAAGATGAACCTGCGTTTCGCAAGAACTCATTCGCGTTTATATTCCGTTCCGTTCTCAAGATAAGGGCCCGGCCTTTACCATTTGTAGGTGTCTCAGCCACTTCTCTCGTAAAGGACATCCAAGTGATTTGCATATTAATGATGAGAGAGATATGTTCTCTCGCGGTCTTGCCGGAGATTATAAGTGCGTAGTAGAGTATTTAGCGCAAGGTCTACTGTTATATCATGTGGCTGTGATAGCTACCAGGGTAGAGAGTGGTGATAAAAATTAAAGCAGACGCGACGAGAATTGCGGCAGCGACAAAAACGCTAATTCAATTTTATATACCGTTGCTTTTCGATACTCGTAATAACTTATTCCATGGAAAAATAGAAAAGCAACGTTAATAAACTTTTATACCGTGTAAATGTGCACGTAAGGACACAAGTAAAAAAAGATTCGATCTTATCATAATAGAACTTCGATAAACTCATTGAAATTTCTAGCCGACATATTTTTCTCCGTCGAAAATAATCGCGACAAGGTAACATTTATTATCTCGTTCGTAGTACTCGTTTAATTGGACGAGAATGTGATCCCCAGGCCGAAGAAAAATTAAAAATGTAACGCGGACAAATTGGTATTCGTGCCAACGGTATATCATCGGTGAAACGTTACGTTCGGTATAATTTATTGCCAATTATTCTGCACCGTGCAATACCTCCGCAAGTTTCTTACAGCGCTAATATCAATTCGTTAAGCGAGAGTAACGCGCTGTTCTTCCGGGCTGCACACAATTAGCAATTAGGTAATTCGCTCCGTTCCCTCCAGCAACTGATGGAACGTAATTTTTATTTTTCATTGGCAGCAGTTAGTCGCCGCGCGCTGTACATAAAAAAGATAATACAATATGCAAGTTCCTACTAATGGTTTAATCTTTTTCAGCGCTCTCCTTATTTAAGTATGCATTCCTCGTGCACTTGTAGCCAAATACGTTTTGCCACACAGAATTTATTAGCTTAATCTATTGAAATAAAAAACATTATTTTGTGAAATGAATATGCTGCGCGTCCTTCATGTCCTGTTACATTTTTCGAATCGTGACTAAAAATCTATACAAGTTATTGCAGTAAAAAAAATTTGTAATATATAATCTAGTTGAAATCTTAATCGCATGTTGTAAAATTACACCAAGTATTGATAAAAATCTTTTATTATGTGGTAAATTAAGTACTTTTCAATCATTTCATTGTTTAATTCCTCACTGCTATCACAATCTTCATCTTTTTGCGAACACAGTTACACTTTTCTTTTGTAATTTTAACATTTACCTCCAAAATGGAAACTAACACGTCGGGCAATTGAAGATTTGTTTCCCAAGTAATTGCATGAGGATTTGTTGCGGAATTTTCAATTACACCCCTTTCCCAAAGTCCTCTCTCTTGCTGAAAGGAACTATACTAAGCGCTAATTTTCCTTCACTGTTTATCAAAGTGATAGCATGATATAATAGTTGTTTATCTAATTAATTTAAGATTAACTATTTTCTCGGTAATTAAAATATTCTTGAAACATTGTTACGTCTCGAAGAAAATGGATTCTAATTTCTTCTTAGAAGAAAGAACTTAATTTGATTATGAATATTAATAAAATTTAAGAAATATATTATGAAACAATAAGAAGCTGTAAATGTTATGAGCAGAACTCGCGAGGATATTCTTGAATTTAATAAAGATCTAGCGAAGAGAGTCGTTAAATTTTAAACGTGACAAATTGTTGCAGTTTTGCACTGTACAGAATTGTTAATTTGTAGATCTGTTTCTTCAAAAATTTTCCAATAGAATAACTGCTGTGACATCAACAATTGAAGCGGAAAATCGACTTGTATCTAATTTGTTTCCTCCTCCACTGTAATTTCCTAACGTTTCTTCGCACGAGTTGCGTTTCTCTCGAGAGAAGGAGAAGAGTTTCAATTACTTCCACGCTGTTATTCTCGCGAATGCCTTTGGGAAACTTGTCGGCGGGCTATTTTCGAAGTGCGATTCGAATCGGACTCTTGGATCTGACGTGTACAAATACACGTTAAATCGTTGTCTTCCTTTTTCCGTTCTCGTGCGTCCTGATAACTCGTAATTTAATTTTGTATCTGGAGCTTCAGTGGAATAATGGTTAAATAACAGAACGAATATTACAATCTAGTGATCCAAACTAAATATTCCGGTATCAAATTCTACGAAACAAAGAAAGCGAAATGCGAATAATTAAAAAATATGTAAACAGCAAATTTCCCAGTAAATTATTGTAAAACGTTTGGGGTAAAAATTTTTTTTAATTTTCCGCAGCGCTTAGACGTCCAAGAATCATTTGCTGTCGTGACTTTCCGGCTCAATTTTTACCCCATTCATAGTTAATAGCGCATGAATATAATAAATTGCTGGTCCAACAATTTCTTGCTGAAAAAAAGGAAAAAAATAACTAAATGTAGAGAGCCACTTTGCCTCGTACTATTTTCAACGAAGTGCTGTATTGTTTTTACACAGAAATAGATTTTTTCGCGGACCCTCGAGTTTACACTGAAAACGAGCGCTGCAACAGCTGTCGCAGGCATTATACTATATAGAGAATGCAGGCGGGAAAGAGTTTTTAACGTATATTACGTGACCCGGTTTCGTGCAAATAAATACTGTTATATGCAGAGAACGTCTGCTAGAGGCTGTAACCCCAAACGATATCGATGATACTCCAAATTGGATAACGACGTTCGAGAACACGCTCGATAAATTTTAACAATGCCGCTCGCGTTCAACGCGAAGGTCGATATAAACGACCCGATAAAAATAGCACCTGCGTTCGACTATCAGACAAAGTCACTGTCGCAATGATCGTGATTACGCCCTTTTTCATAGTATACCTCCATCGATATTTTCATCTTTATCCCCGTAAGTGCTTTATTACCCCCGTGACGTCCTCCGAGAGGCTAAGCGCAAACTCGAAAGATTTACCAAAGGCGCGTGGTAAAGTGCTTTTCAATGGATTCATTTACCGCATGATAAACGTCATTACGTGCCCCTATAAGTGTCAACTCCTCTGCCCTGATGAAACGCGAGTATTAGTCTAGTCTCGCCTGTTCAATGCTTTCAAAGGCCGGCCCTTTAATTTTGGATTGGATGTGCACAAGGCTTCTTCCAACTTGGTGTAGAAGTGACACGTGTACTTTACCAGGACTCCCTTGTAAATGAAATAAGTGTGCCGTATACTATGACGTTCGAGTTTAATATTCGGTCCTCGCTTAAAAGCAGCGCTGAGTCCGTCGTAATGAGTCGATTTCTTCGAAATAACGCGAACTGGAGCACTCGCGCCCTTACAACGTCGGTAATAAATTAGACATTTAAATTAATAGTTTAGATTATGTACATGTTTTCTGTTAATATTAATTAATCTTGGTTCACTTATTATCCAGTAAAGTTCAAATTTGATAGAAAGTCTAGAAATAAAATTAATTAATCGCTTAAATAATATGCACAAATTTACGTGATACTATTTCTTGTATATTTTAGTGCTACGTTATTATTTCATCGAGAAGAATAAATTAAAATGCAGTCTTATCAATTTCACAGAATATTACATGAGGCATTCAAGTGGTAATAGCCGGTTTCTAGTCAGACACTAAGTTAGCCAGAAATTAAACGTAACGTCATTGCCACATTTAATTTTTTTACTTATTCCAGTAATCTGAATAATACAAAACTCGTTTTAATATATAAAATAAATTAACAAAATTAAATATGATGGCTTAACAAAATAATATATAATTCAATAGAGAGTTTTTAATATATAAAAACACAATAAATTTGAATCATTCAGAAAATTAAAAGATAATTACAATCAATGTTCCTGACCTCTCTGTGATGACTTTCCCATTAATTTCTACAATGTTAAAAACACTTTTAGTAGTTGCAAAATTTTGAATTATTAATAATAATTCAAAATAATAATTAGTAATAATACATTTTTTAATTCAACCAAATTCACATAAAAAGAAAACGTTTTTAATATACAATACGGATTATTTAGCTTCTTTTCCCTGCAGATATGAAATTTATAATATAAAGTGCAATTTGTCGGAAAAGTCGCACATAAAATATTTTATGAACACAATTTTATTAACTAAGTAATCCAAGATTAAAAGGAAAAGGAGAGCATAAAAGAATATCAGTAATTATTCATTCAGACTTGCAAATACGTAAATGCTTTGAATATCAGGTTCGATATAAAGCATCGGCGGATATGTCTGTTCAACAAAAGAATCCAATTTCTCATACTTACCCAACCATATCGGAGTCCTTGGCCACTCGGCAATGAACACCGCGATCCACCAAGCATTTTCCGGTCACAGGATCGGGCGGTGCAAGATTGATGTAGGGCGGCTCCTCCAGAAAGGTTATTTTGAGGTAAAACTTCTCCGGCACGCCTTGTGGAGGAGTGTGGGTGTTGCCCGGCCAGACGATGTCCTTAATGTCCAGACCCTCTTTCTCCCAGGACTTCCAGACACCGATCTGTCGACAAGCAGACGAGAGCAAATGTGATCAAATACAGTAGCAGCTTCAATAAATCTTTCTTGAATGCCACATCGTTGGTATAATTTTGCTTTTATAATTAAAATGTCCCTTTTCATTTTGGCAAATAAAAATAAATAGCCCCAACACAGCATACTAAGGATATTACTTCACATTAATTTACCAGTGCACCGAAATTAAAAATTTCAGGAGGTTTCTACCACGGCTCTTTTTGTCCTTGTAGTTATTTCAGTGTCATCTTCCCCTCTTTCTCCATTCATGATTTATGTGTATAATTTTTGATGAGAATATTTTCTGACTTCCTTTTAAAAGTATTGTTAAAAGTTTTAAATGCTACTTAACGCCCATTTAATTACTTTAAAAGGTATCTCCTCCGTAATTTGTAATAAGCTCTTTAGTAATAATTTGTGACATTCAAAACTTTTATTTAAAGCGCGTAAAACGTTTTACGATGAAACTTCAGCTTTATTTGCTTTAAATTTCGTATCGCTGGCGCTTTATACTTGATTGCGTGCAAAATTGTTTTCAGCAGAAAGTGTCGGCGATGAAAGTATAATGTGAAACGGAAGTCAAATTACAAAGTTCTTTCTACACTTCCCTGAGTCGCTCCGTGACGAATCTGGTGCGAAAGAAGGTTTAGTTGTGCACCGATATAAACTCGTCGTGTACTTCAACTTGCTTCCTTCCCACGCCTATCGTTTCTCACTATCGGGCGCGCAATTTACTTCCTATTCAGACGAAACTGTATTCGGTAATGGAGCGCCATTAGTCAATGTCGATGAAAATTTTTAAATACATCCATCATTGCTAGCATTATCGCCTCAGGAAACTTAACATGAATCATGATTGGTCCGATCGGCAGGGACTTTAGTCATTTTGTTTACCGCCGTGAACACCGGGCCAAGATGAGGAAGAGAAACTTAATTACGCACTGAAAAAGATTTTTCGATAACGTTAAACAGAAATACAATTACAGGGTGGCGCGTACAAAACCGGCCACAACGCAAAATACAGTTGCACCAGTTTACTTAAACAACAGAACGTTTCATCAAAAAAAAAAAAAAAAAACTTAGCAATGCTAAATGCGTATCGTATGTGTATGGCAAATAACAGTAACGTATATAATAACAAAATATTTGGAGAACAAATAAAACAGTAAAACTGTATTTTCTTTTTGCGTTCGAGTGTGCCACGCCAAGTGCAGAATCACTCCAGCATCCCCACGTGGCTACCACGGATATTATATGTAGTTATTTAAACAATGTGTTCTAAAAAATAACAAAATGATTCCATAATTTGCATATCAATCTCATCCCGTATTCCTTCATGTGATATTAAGAGCGTTGCGGCTTTGCCCTGAGCCATTCAGTAACAGATGGGCTACTAAAATGTAAAATTAACGCGGATGTAATTTGCGTCGGTTATTAAAATCATTTGCACATACGCCGGACGTTTCTGTACGTTGAAACTTATGGTCGACCCGGATTATGTAGGTGAAAATACGTGACCGCCGTGTCGAAAAGACACGTGGGCGGCATTGAAAAGTGCACTTACGCCCGCTTTTCTGCATCTCTCGCGCGGAATTCGTAAAAGCTTCGTCAAAAAGTTATATCTATCAATTTTTGATAATCGCAGATCCTTACTGTATTGTTGCAACACGAATGGACGATGTCTATAAAAAAAAAACGAAACACATAGAAAACTTAGTCTGTTTTACTGACATCAAATTTTTAATTTTCTCGATTTGCTTATTGAAAATTGAGATTCTTTTGACCTTCCTTTAATACAAACAGTTTAGAAAATATAAATTCGTGAAATAACAGCAGTAAGTTTCATAAAATTATTTCTTTAATATCGAAATCAAGTTTAGTCGTGAATTTAAATTAACATTATAATTATAATTTTTTTCTAAATAATACAAAAATAATCTTGTGTTTTAAAAAATTAAAAAATGATTCCACAATTTACATATCAATCTGCATCCAACAGAGACAAAGTGTTCCTGTAATAAATGCAGGCATTAACTTTTGGTGATTAAAGACAAATAAATCTTCAAGTTTATCTCAAAAGAAACCTTTGTGTCACGATGGCTGGAGGAAATTAGAAAGGACGGAAGTTACTTGTTAATTAATAATCTCTCTGCAAGGCAATATCAGTTTCTCATTATATATTATTGAAAATCGATTCTAAATATTCAGAACAGACAAGTCGAAAATTACTTCGCACACGTCTATTCATAAAAGAATCGACAAACGTGGTACTGTGACATAAAATATTATATACATAATAAATATGGAAAATTATAGAACGCAGGTTAATTTTAGCTAATTTCTAAAGATGTGACAAATTTGTTTTCAAAAAAGAATAATTCCTATATCTATAGAAATGTTGCGCACGCATATTTAATATTTCACATAGTATATTTCTTAAAAGTAGTTATACATAAATATATCCCCGGTTTGAAACTTCATACGGACCGTATCTATTTCTATCACACTTCATGGTCCATTCATCAACTCCCGCGAGATGCGTTTAATCGAGTGCATTTGAACGCAAATTGATTTATTCCACACATTCCAAAACGGTCCATTCAAAGAGGTAATTTTACGGCGATGTGAACAAGGAACCAAACTAGAACAGTTTATTTACATTGTCAACATAACGCTCGCCGCTTTGTACGTTTCCGTCATTTTGTCCGATGCATTGCGCGCCGATGTCAACGGCTATTGTCTCTGTCAGCCCACCAAAATTTATTTGGCAGTCGTGTACTACAGTGAAGAAAGTAAATGACTTCTTGTAGAATGCATAGCAACTTTCCAGATGCAGAGGGGCCAATAAAATGAAATTGCATCGCTCCGGAGTGAGTGTTGCTCAACTTCTGAATATGTAAAGCTCTCGCTGGCGATGCGCGCGAGACATCTACATATTAGAAACCGATATACTGCACGCGGGAGTTGCACCGAGCATGTTGCCATGAAAATTCATATACACATCCGTACGGCTGTGTGATCGTACACTTTTTATATTCCCCTGTGCGAAGAAACGAAACTATCAGTACGTGCGACCAATCGAAGCCCACCGTTCTCTCTAGAAAAGCCGAGGATCATCCAGGAGATTTAAGCATTTGTAATTAAAAGTTCCGGATCCGGCGTTACGGTGTATTTGGAGCTTTTCGCTCGCGCGTACCCATCGACCGTATCCTGTGTCCGAGTCCGACCGTTGTGGAAAATCCTTGCGTCGGAATTACGACACGCGCATTCGTGCGTTAACGCTGTTACGTGGGATCGGAAGAGAGATTAAAGAAAATAACGCGTCAAACGGGATATTCGACAAACAAGATCGCGTTTTGAGAGGATAAGAAGGATAATCGTAGATTTCGGCACAGGACGTAATAATAGAATGTCATCTGACAAAGAGAATTGTATATGTACGTATCATTTAGTCCGTTTTTATTCAACATATAAAAAATAGCAATTGGTAATTAAGACGATAGCTTTAACGCTGATTTACAGAGTTGCAAATATATATATGGAGATTTTCCACCGACCGCCTTTATTTCCTTTTCGTGCAGCCAACTCTGCAATCACCGAAATTGTATCTTCATTTTAAATCGCGGCGACAATTAACAACGGAATAAACAATACGTGCTTCCTTCCGCTTTTGCACGTTACTCAGCTTAATTTAAATCGCGGATATAACGCGGGTCAGTAAACCGCAGGGAAGACTCGGAAATTAAACTTTCGCTGAGAAACATCTCGCGAAACGTCATGTGCAATGGCGCCGGTTACAAAGCGCCGGTGATGAATTAATGACTACATTAACGTGCCGTGAATTAATGAACAGATTACAAGTTCATTACACGAGTCGAGATTATATCGAGTTAACTGTGCGCCACGTGATACGCCGTAACGCGTTCTTTGACGTTGATATTCTCTGTCATGTTCCCTCTCGTCAAGGCAATTGCAAATGCTCTTTTGATGCGGGATCAACGTGATGTACCGTAAAATCTTACGGTATCTCCTAATTATCGTGTTCTCGTTGGTGCATCGTTCCTTAATTATAAGTTCCGCCGCCTGTTTAGTTCGCGACACGTTACCAGTTACATCTTGTTAACCAGTTTGTTGCACAGCGGCGGAACCCGAACTTCCCACACAATCACAGCAGTTGCAGTTATGAGACATTGCAGGTTGACATATTAACTGTACGTGACAATTATCACATCTTAAGCATCGTCCTTTGTACGCTATCGTCATTTTAAGCGCGTTTGTTAATTTTCTATCTGTATTTTCATTTTCACGCAGCAAGCAGACTATTGATAGGCTTACATCAAGTTATTGAATATGGCAACACATCGCGTACAATTTTAATCCATTTAGACAAAGAAGCAAAGGGACTGCAGTATAATTAATTAAATCGAGTCAAAATGAAAAATTTAACGAAGAAGAGTTTTGTTACACGTAAGAGGATTTATGAAAGCAATTCTCTTTTTCTGTAAAACGAATGCTTCTAAACTCTTGAAATTTTGCATTTAATTTAAAATCTGTACAAAATTTTTCAGAAACAAGACTTGAATCATTCAAAGAAACAATTTCCATCTAATGCGATTGCTGGTAACTTTTCAATTTATTATCGGAAAATGTATTTCCAACGTAACTTCTATTCTTTCTTCTAGCTTTCACGATATCCCGGAATACGTTCAAAAATTTAACTGTGCGTGACGTAAAAATTCATGGAGAATTCGTTGTACTAAGAATACTGGTCTTGGAAAAGGTTAATTGGTCCGCCAGGATTTCGACCGCGACATAAAGTCCCCACAATAGCCGTCCCTTCGATAAGCTCGGTCAGGTCAGGGGGGGGGGGGGAGAAAATGGGGATTACGGCTATACATTGTCGGCGTTTTACTGAAACCGTTTGCGACGATACATCCCGCAGTATTTGGCACGGCTCCAGCCACCCCGTTAAGTTCGCTACGGTTCCCT